AAGGTCGAAATCGATTTTAGTTTATGAAACACCCCGCCCCCTCCCCCAGGTTCCCCCAAACTATACCAGTGCCCCCATCAATGGCTAAAGCCACGTTACGCCACTGCTCATAATAATGATAATAGGCCAATGATCATTTCTAGACCGTCATGACATTTACTTTTAGAATCTGTCATTAATTGTGACAGGACAGTTTCGGATATCCTTCAGTCAGTCAATCATTGACAATATCAACTCGAGTGGTGCACTTCAACGTAGTACATCACGAAACAACAATTTGTTCACGGCGACACAGCAATGGACACGCGATACTAGTGTGAATACAGTGCTTAAAAGCTTACATTGGCATAGCCACAACGGGTATGCATGTGGGGGGGGGGGGGGCACATGCCCTATTGAAGTGAAAAAGGGGGAGGGGAAGGAGATTGATCGGATGTGAGGGGGGGGGGGGCAACGTAGATTTCCGGCCCTTCCACACCATCGCCCATTCTGACGGTCTCGTTGCTTGGTTGACTGGTTGCTTTCCATGTTAGAATGAAGGGGGGGGGGGGGGGGTATACAGCTATCAATTTTGCCTCTGGATTTAGCGAAATGTATGCACCAAAAATAGCACTAACCATCACGTTCTTTAAATATTATCTAACTTCTTCAAAAGTTCAAATTACCGTTTGTAATCGACTGTCCGGATAAGCAACTTGCCCGGATGTAGCCTAGGCTATAGGCTATCTCTTCGGATTAAATAGCGTCAGTAATAAAATCTATGCCAAGATAATATTTACAGTAATGCTACTGAATGATGTTACATTGGAGCTTAGCATCCCCGCCATAGCAATTCTCTGTTCACACAATGGTGTACATGTGTAGTAAAAGCATTGTATGAACACGGCTTTACAGTCTGCGTAGGACGCGCTATTTTATTTGTTACGCGCAGATTTCTATGCGTATGAACATGCCCCCATCAGGAACGTCATTATGAATGGGGTTGTACGTGTAGCTTCAATTCAAGTTAATTTGTAGCTAGCTAGCTGGGAGAGTTTGAGGTTTTATGTGGATAATAATTGATAGAAAACATCTTTGGACGGAGAACATGAATTGGTGAGATAAACAACTAGTTCGTGATATTATCACCCGTATAAGATAATAATTAGTTCAATATATTATTGCATGTTGCTAATTTTAAAGTTTTATTTTATGATTTCCAAAGCATTCACGTTGTTTATAGAACGTGGCAGATTTAATAAATATATCCTGTGACGGAAAAATCCGTCTAGAGTCTAGTTAAAGATATTTTTAACATGTTGTTAAAGGCTTTGGTAAAGCCAGTCTATGTCGTGTCAAGCGGAGCACATATCAACGAACGAAATACACTGATTTTCGCTCTATTTCAAGTAAAATTCTCATCTTTACTTTACTTGAGGAATTCTTATGTTTCCTGTATGTTCCCGTCACTGACTTCCAGTGAATTTATCTAACCATCTTTTCCATAAACTTGTAAAATTTAAAGCGATCATTTAGTTTTAGATGTTTGACCGTGATAGGAGGACATTGCATCACACCTGCTCGTCTTTTAGAACGCTTTTAATTATTATGAACTTCTTGATGATGTCGGTTAGGCCTTCCTTAAAAACCAGTTTAAGATACCATATGCGACTAATGCGAGCAACCATTGCGACTTTCGTTACATGGCCTCGCCGTATACTGGTATGTCTTCTATGCTCGTGTCCGGACTGTTTGGTTATCTGGACGGTTTGATGTAAAATAAAAAGTTATTTTAAGAAGTTAACAAGACGTTTAATCGTTATATTAAGACAGTATGAAGGACAGAATTGGTTTGCGTTAAACCCGGACAGGGTCAAAGAGAAGACTATATTTTTGTTGTGTCCGGACACACAACCCTTCTCATGAGTCGCTTGGTCGAAATAGCGAAGCTTGCGAGTTACAAGGTAGAATTTCTCTCAGGATTAAAGGTAAAGACCAGTATTGGAAACGCCCCAATTTCAAAAAATGAAATGGAAGCTCTCATTACCAATCATGTGAAAGAATATGTTTTGACTAATACATGATGATAAAAAATTTGCCGGGAAACCGCCTACTAATTCATATATTTGGTAAATTTGTTTCTCTCATGGTCTGTGAGAGATATAGGGTAGTCCCATATACATCTTTCTGTGTATAGTGCTTGTAACTTTACGAAGAATGGGCCAAATTTCTTATCATTTTGATGATTCCAGAACCTTGCAGATGCTAGATGCTAGATGATCAACCTTTTCTGATCAATTCCACAACGTTTCTTTCACAATGCAATCGCATGACCATAACTGGTCTTTACCTTTAATGTTGTAGAAGGGTCTAGTTCATTTGTTTGTTTGACGCCCCCCCCCCCTCCCCACCCTACCCCAAAACAGGCATGGGGGAAATCCTACCGGTCACCGGTTTACTAGCGTATATTCAAATTGTACGCATACCTTTCGAACACAGGTAATTCTTGACAACCCTTCTCCGACGCTTGCCTGGTATAGCAACAAGTTGTGTATATAATGGAATACCTTGTCACTAGGGAAAGGAACATCAATACATTTAAACAGTCCTATCTTAGTCAACGTTCTATAGTTAACCACCGCAAAGACTCAGATCAAGAAATCAGTGTAGTGGGAATTTGAAAAGTCAATGGTAGGCCATGAGGGGCAGTTACACTGTCATCCAAACACGCCAAAAAATGCCAAACCGGAGCCTGGCCGCGATGTTACCAAGGGCAACTACGCTTTACCGGCAGACATGCCAAGCCCCAAACATTCCAAAACGAAGTGTGATCTTTTGGCGTGTTTTGGCGTGTTTTGGCGTGTTTGGCAAGTATAACCGCTCGCAGTTGTAACATCGCGATGTTAGGCACGTGTCTTCCGGCACTTCCGGATTGTTACCCGCGCTCTTTTAAACCACGTTCTTCCCGTGTGATATTTATAGCATTTCCATCGTCGCGCGTGTTATCCGTTCATTCAGCTCCGTTTGTTCCAATTCCGTTAACTCATCCTTTATTCAATCTTCGTTATTCCCGTCTGGCCATATCTGTCTAGTAGTAGTATTTGAGTGTTTTGTTAGATTAATTAATTAATCGACGTCGGCGAATTCTCATAATTCCAATTAACAACGATGATTTTCTTAACCTTCCCATATCGTTTTTACTACTAGATTTCGATTGAATTTGGGAAAACTGAATCAGCAGCCGTAGTCCGTACTTCGTAACTTATCCACTTTTGCCTCAAATACTACACGCGAGATAAACAAAACATATCGCATGCATGCGCATGGGATGAATCGCTATTTAGCTAGCTATAGCGCTAGCTGGAAATTGCGCGCGCTAAAAATCTTATAGCAGGCCGGGGTCAAAGGTCGGGAAGACTGCACATGCGCATTACCAACCGAAACACGCCAAAACATCGCTGAACAGCTCCGTCGGTGATGTTTCAGCACAAGTGTAACCGGGTGCACGAAACATCGCGACTTTTCAAAATGAGGTATTTGACAGTATAAATGCGCCTCATGTCTGCAACTCTGCATGGTGCCTAAATTGGTGTTCCGATTATGTAATTAGTCCCTGAAACAGTCCCATATAGAGTTATGCCCATTTAGAAGATGACGCAAAGTCTCTTGAAATGTCTTGGTTCAATTTTTTCAGAAATTCGTTTCGATCATCAGTCCTTATGCACTTCGTTTCCTTTTCAAACTTTTAGTTTACACCGATCTCTAATGAGTCTGATAGGACATCTTACGCCTCTTACGTTTGATAGTTGATACCGATCTCTTATTACACGTCATGTGAATAAAAGTGAAACTCCTTTATCCAACGTCATCATGTGTGTCAAAGGGTAATGTTTATTTTATCACTTCCCCTCGTTAACTTTAACACAATTAACTTTTTGATTGTCCGGCCTTCCGTTATTGTCTAAATATGACGAAATATCACACATTATTTCCCATGCAATGCAGCAAGGAAGTGATGAAATGCTCGTCGTGTAAACAAAATGAGGATATTTAAACTCCCGCTTGTAAAAGCCCACTGCACTACTTGTAGCTACTTGCGCCCTCTAGATAACATACAATGCCTAATCGGTGACCATCTTTTTCCTATGTTAACTGAGAGCTGAGTTGATGAGATAACCACCTGTCCAGACAGTCCAGTGACCTTGCGGGGCAGTCTAATCCCTCCTGTAAACTACGGCAGATACGCTCAGACAATACGAAACTAAACGACGCAAGAAGACTATTCAAAATTAGTATGCGGGACTAGCTGTGTCGACTGTTTGCACGAATTCTAAACTCTGTTTACATTATAGTCACATTTTCTTTCTGTGACATACGAACTACAGAAACGCACCGACAACTCGGTTGCTGTGGAGTGATAAGGTGTTCCGAAACTTGAATAGGCTAATTTCTTTTATATCCTGCATCAAAAATTTGTTGGCTTCTGATTGGTTGAGAGCTCGTCACATGACCAAAAATATTTGAGCTATTTTTAGAAAGTACTATATGAGAGTACTATTTTGGTTTACTATTTGGGAGTTGAAAAAAAATGTGAATTTTTTTTTTGAATTGAATCAATTTTTTTTTTCAAATCTTAATTTAATGAAAACAAAATATTTCAAATCTTTTTAGATAAAATTTAACATTTTTTTGTTCTAAATTTTTTTTTTTTTTTTTTTTTTTAAATAATTTTTTGTTGCAGGATATAAAACAAATATACCATGCCTTCTATTCGAAGTACTGGTTAAACTATGGGCCTCGGTGACTCCAAAAGTACCATTTGCTTCGGGGCTGCGCCCCTCAGCAAATAGTACTATTGGAGTCACCTCTTGCGCATAGTTTTAACCAGAACCTCTCAAGGCAGTGTATATTTGTATACTGTATACACTAGAAACTCGGTGAAGGCGTGACGTCATCAAACGGTTACTTCTTTCTTTTTAGATGGAGTTGTGCTTTCTAGTGATAATACAAAGCTTCGGAAGTTACTGTGGAATGATACAGGTTCCTTGAGTCTTATATAGGGCGAATTTCTCTTGTGGAAACCCGTTGGTTTAAGAAGGCCTAACATTACTAAGGAATCACGGTGACTTCTCTCATATCTTTCTTGAGTTGTGATTTCGTCTTCGAATGGTTAACGCACGGGGAGTTACTGTGTAAAGATCTGATGTCGTGGAATACTTACGTACGGGCCTTCGATTTTTGTGCGTGACGTCAGCATTGGATTCAATATCTTTCATTTGAATATGGAATTGGGGCTCCAAGTGATTCGGGATTATTAAGAAATACTTCAGTAAAGATAATTTGGCGGCACCCACCATGGATAAACCAGGTTAAATAATTTGTATTTTGTATAACTTTGTTATGCTCATCGTGTTTGATACACTACTCTGAGAATTAGTCTTGTAATTTGTCTATAAAATCAATCTTGAAATTAATCTCAAGCTTCTATATTCTTATAACATTATTTCGTTCCTTCTCCCCGCCTTTCTTTAATTCTTCGCCCCTATCCGGCATTCTTTCCCTCTCACACATATTTGTCATCGTTCTGAGCCCCGTTGCATAAAACCTACCAATGATGATGACTTTGCTATCAATATTAATTACCATGGCAACACCACTCAACAGCCAATGAAAATGAAATCAATGGCAAAGTTACCATTGACGCCAAGTGTTATGCAGTGTGGTGCCCTGCTCTGCATTCCAATATCTTATCATTACCGCCCTCCTTAAAATCTCGTTCATACAGTTTTCCCCCTCAAAGGAGGCACTAACATCGGTCTTTAAAGGCAGATGGTCTACACAGACCACCATAAAACAACTCATGACTACATTTCAACCACAACGAAATGCACTCCCACTGCACTTGCTCTTTGAACTGCTCCCTCGTGACCTATTACGTCGCCCTTTCTACCTTGCTTGAGGCGCCATCGACATCAACTAACTCGCTCATGATGGCTGCGTTTTTGTTAAATGTAAATTGTTAATATCCCATACATTTTCTTTATGCGTTTAAACTGACGTAATGTGGTGATGTCTGAAAATGTGTTTATATAGTTTTCTGTAATTTTTCAATTATTTTGTATTTCGTTATTTAACGCAGAAATAAACTTCATTCAAAGAGACAAACAAACAAAGATTGTCGTCTCTATAGACTGTATAGGTTCGACTTTATAGATCTAGGTATTACAGGACTGGGAAAAGTAATTATTATTGAAAAGAAGCTAAAACTGGAAGACATTGAAACAACCTGTTATTGCGAAACATATATATACCAAGGTGTTTATAACATGGAGGTTGTATTGCTCATTCACCAATGTACTTGACTTTTGGAATGTCTTGCATAATGATATCAAGAGTCTTCTCAGCCAAATTAAAGGCCAATAGTACAACATGATAACGTTTGTAATTTGTGAGTTAAGTTTTAAAGACGTGATCACTGATCATTAAAGCTAGAATGCTATCAAATTTCAGAACTCGTTGATGCGAACGGAAATGTTCACTCTATCTGCGAATTATTCATCCAACCGCCCGTACGAGGCGATGCCATCTAAGGGATGCAAGGGTATACTATTATGTACATTAGATAAAACTTATCGTGAGCATGTACGAGGCGGGTCTTGACCATAAACAAATATAGGGCGCGGTGCGGTACTGCCCCCCCCGCCCCGCAAGAATGTTAACATTTCTAATATTCTGGCAAGCTACAACTCATATTCGGTGAGCGAGGTGATCTATGTGTAGTTTTTATATATCTTATCTAGTACATTTTCATCAAGAAATAACATTAATAATATTTTCATATTAAACATTGTCAAATTATTTGTTCAAGAACACAATACCGTGACTAATCGTGCCCTATTCAGTTAATTTGTTTATTAACGAGTCTCTTCAATGCCTCCAAGTTCATTTTCAGCTCAATTTTCAAGTATTAACTATGTTATAGATAATTCAAAGAACTTGCTGATGATGATTAACCATCATAATCACCATCTTCATTCCATCATCGTTGTCATTATTTTATTTTCATTTTTATCATTTTTATTTTTTTACAGGTGAATCGCCTGAGCGCACCCCATTGCTCCAACAACAGAAAGCACGAGCAGCCGAACAAAAGACGATATTAGCCGAAGAGAAGCCGAAGACTGCCGGGATGGTGGTGGAAAACGGACATACGAAAGGCCTCGACGACGACGGCACTGAGGTCGCGTTCAAGAATGGGAACTACGGTGCAACCAATGGAAAGGACACCGCCAACGGAACCATCAAGGGAGAGGAAAAGTGAGAAACTGACTTTTCTTTTTTGATATTCTTCGAAGTGAAAAAGTTTACTCTCATGAATTTGTGATGATGAATTATTTCAAACGAAAACAAAATAACTATTTTTCCCCCTCATAATATGACAATCGAATGACATTCAGTGAAATATTCTGTGACACAATAAATAATTCAAATCATTCAGCCAGATTGGCAGCAAGTAGCCCAGCCAATCGCAAAGTTACAACATTATGGTCTAAGATGATCGTAGCGGAGAGTTCCGGGACGATACATACCCATCAGTGGACCACCGAAGCACAGGAGCACAGAGTTTCCAAGCTAGAGACTATTACGACTCGACTATTATAGTATTAATGACTGCTTTGAGAGAAATAGTTGTTTTATTACGCTCAAGGGAAGGTTAGAATTGTGCTATTCCCCGAGGCTTGCCGAGGGGAATAGCCCAATTGTAACCTTCCCGAGAGCGTATGAAAACAACTATTTCTCGAATATTAAAGCAGTCATTAATACTTTTATATGCCGAAAAAAAATAGACTAAAAAATGAAAAATTAAAAATATTTATCATTTTGTCGAAGACGGGATTCGAACCCTTGCGTACAACAAGAGGTGTACCGAAAACCAACGCTTAGACCACTCGGCTATGCCGCCGTTAACATGCTTGGCAGTTTTCTCCAATATATTCATTAAAATGGATTGAAACCGGCTTCGCGTGTGATGAATGCTTCGCAAAAGCTCCATATACGGACTCTTCTTTTACTTTTGCAATGCATATTGGCACGAACTTAGATCAAGATCTATCGGCAGATGTTGTTTTTTTGTTTTTGAAAGTTTATTTTCGTCTTCATGTCAACAATGCAAGATAAAATTGTCGGTAAGATCGATCGAGATTCAATTGTATTGAAATTACCGACCAATCCTTCGCACACATACGGCATCCTCCATCGCTCAAACCATTTTTTAACATGTAAACCTATATGGGGTAACCATGGAGGCTGACCAACTGTTTTTAATAACCATGGTTATTAAAAATATTGAAATGTTTTATGCATGGTTACCGAGAATTTTACAGGAACAGTTGAAGTTTATGAATGCAATTCGACCAATCAGATGGCTGGATTATAAACCTCACTAATTACACTTAAGAACCAGACTATAGGCGTCTATATGACCCTCTTAAAAGAGTCACTGCTTAAAGAATAAGGATATGAAATATCGATATATTACTTCCATTTGATGTTCAGAAAACGTTTGAGTATTAAAGCTAAGTAGCTCAAGGCTTCTGAGCAGTCGGGACTTTCACACCTTTCAGAAGGGAATTAATGGGGTAGAATACCGGGCGAAATTCGATTGACTTTTTGATTTGTGTGTGATCCGTTTTCAGGAGTGATGAGAAGGAAAACGAGAAAGAGGAAGAGAAGCCACAGGTCCCTTTCACGAGATTGGTGAGTATGATACTTTCTATGATCGAGTTTAGTGACATCACAACATCGTCATCATCATTGTCATCAACAACATCACCATCTTCAACAGTAGAAGCAGCATCATCAGCAGCATCACCATCACCATCACCATCACCATCACCATCACCATCATCACCATCATCATCACCATCACCATTACCATCACCACCAGTATCTTCATCACCCCCACCACCACCATCATCATCATCATCATCATCATCATCATTATCATCATCATCTCCTCATTTTCCTTCGCTTCACCTTTAACATGATAAACTTGATTGTCACTCCGTCCATAATCACCACTACCCCTATCATCATCCGCTCGTGGCATTTTCACTGTGTTGTAACGCTTTAATGTTATATGCTCTGTGTTGTCATTTCTACCTGGAAATCAAATAAATAAATCTATTTATCTATCTAAGTATCTTCTCCCAGTTCGGAGGTTGATTGCAACATCTCTCCATTTCACTCTATCTTCTGCCATTCTGGTGCACTCTTGCAGTTTTAATCCACTCCAGTTCTTGACATTCTCTTCCCGGTTGATTCTGGGTCTCCCTCTAGGTCTACTTCCTTCCTCTTTATTCCAATAAATAAATAAGTGTCATCAATATCATCCTCATTATCGCACTACTATCAGCATCGCCAACTTAAAAAAACCCAATATTTTCACTGGTAAGTGGTAACCTGCGTGTTTTTGTTCTTTGTGCAACAGTTTCGCTATGCTACGGGTCTCGACGGCCTCTTCATGTTTATCGGCTGTTTTGCCGCGGTCTGCCACGGCTGTGCCTGGCCGGCGCTCAACATCGTCTTCGGCGGTCTCATCGACGAGTTCGTTGATTTCGACAAGTTGAATACCACGAACACCACGGATTTCACGGCTACTTTACCGCCGGGTTTGGATCCGGCCAAAGAGTTTGATAACCAGATGCAAATGTACGCCGTCATATTCACCTACATTGGCATAGGTGTCATGGTGATGGCATACCTGCAGGTGAGCAGAAAGTTTTGACCACGGCCCTGTTTCATAAAAATTATTTCAAATAAAAAGTTTCAATAATTGTCATAAAAGATACGGAAATCGTGGCATTTGATTGGCTGAGATCAAATTTGACCTGGAAAGTTTGCGTTTGTTATTGATGGCAAGTTTTATGCAACAGGGCCAAGCGAGGTCCCGTAACAAATAGTCTAGAGATTAAATTTTGCGATTCATCGCGCGGATTGATCAATGCAATCAGTCGCATTTTTTTTTTAAAATTGCACAATCAATTGCTAAGTTTTGTGTCACGGGGCTCAGGAGACTTCAGATCAGGATTTATATTAAGATTTCGTAATAGAACCCTAGTGTGTGTGAGAGGAATTTTGTACAGAATTGTATCGATCAGATATACTGAGTAACTACGACTGGAGACAGACATAAAGTTGCACAATCCCAATCTACAATCGGTAGAGGGTTACAAACCGCTTGTCAAAAATGAAAATAAAAACAGTTGTTAGCGTATGTCTTTTGTTGGCAATATTAGGAACGGTAAGATTTTATTTTTTCATTAGCTCATTTTGAAAGTTCTGGCACACAAGTCATGTCGGCAAATTCGGTCCTGTGTTTTCTAACGATTCATCATCTGTATTCTTAACAGTCATCGATGTGGACTCTTGCCGGCGAGAGGCAGATCTATAAGATTCGTCAGGCCTTCTTCAACGCCATCTTGCATCAGGAAATCCAATGGTTCGATGTTCACAAGAGTGGTGAACTCACGTCCAGGTTGGCCGAGTAAGTTTGCGACAGTTTCGATTATTTTTGTCTTAAAGGGATCGTTTAACAATGTAAAATCTGAGATACACGGCCCTACGTGTTATCAGTGTCTGTGGTATGGTGTAATATTGAAGCCCTAAAAAAATCGCGCTTCAAAATGATCAAGAAGTGCCTCAAAAAAGTAAAAATCTTTGAGTGACCGGTTTTACCATACTCGTTTTCCCCAATAGACTGTAGTGTTATGAAAACCGTCCGGCGAACGGTTTTCAAAATTTGTAATTCCAATCATAAATATCTTGATAATCAGACAGGCGATCGGCTTGTAAAAGTCATGGATTTCCTGACTGATCTAAAGGTTTATAATAATCATTGCAGCATGAGCTAAATCCAGGATTTTGTTTCAGAATCTGAGACAAAGTTACCGGATCCCTTTAAAATGTTCGGGCAAATGCTACCTCTCTTTCCCGTATGTAATCTTTTAAGTCTCTTATTTTATATATTTTGATAACAAGATGACAGTGTCACTGTAATTAAGTGACGATTTTTCCTCTTTCTATGCGCGCTCCCTCACCAGGTCTCAAAATCTAGAAGCTGGAAAGTTGATTGATATTCGAGCATGAGACGGACATTATAGTAATTCTAGTTTGTTTTTCTTTCTTTCCTTTTAACCATCATGATGTGGAGCTGGCAATATCGTGTTTTTTAATATTTTTTTTTATTAAAACACGTCTCTACAAATAGATCTGTAATGATTCTCACTCGTGATTTTTCCATTCATTCATTTATTTATTCATTCGGTCATTCATTCATTCATTCATTCATTCATTCTTTATTTCTTTCGATTACAGCGACATGGAGAGAGTGAAAGATGGACTCGGAGACAAGATCGCTCTCTGCCTGCAATCTCTCTCTCTATTCTTGGCTGGTGAGTGTCATGTCATTTTTATTGGACGGCTATAGGCACAGAAAAGAGGGGTCTTCGCAAGGACGGGAGGAGGGGGGGGGGGGGTGGGGGTGCTTTCATGGAAAATGGGGCCCAGGATGACCAAAGTAATGATGGTAATGAAGTATACTAAAAGTGAATCTATTATGCAACTTCATTTCATTTTCATTTGAGCGTATGAATCATATCTTCATCCAAGAAAGTCGAATTTTTCATACATGAGTGATTATCATTTTGTTTCATATTTATAAATGAAGTATAATTATGGTAAATATTTCATTTTGTTTTGAGGCTTCATAGAGTGATGTGGCAAGTATTAATTAGTTTAAAGATATTCAAGGAAAACAAAAATCATCGATCGATGAAAATACAAATAAAAAAAATCTCTATTTTTCGTCAAAGAGATTGGGGAACGGATTTCTAAAAGAAGCGCACGTCCGACTTTTGCGTTTTTATCCTCACTTTACCAATAGACTAGTGTCTGTGTTTATTTGATAGCTCATGCAGTAGAGCAATGATCCTACTTCATATCATATGATAATTTCCATGTTGTTTAATGTAAATCGGCGACACACATGACGAATAATTAAAAAATAAACACTATGTAATTGACATTATAACGAAAAATGAAGAGTCTGAGAGCTTGCCGGTGTTTAATATTTAATTTGAAATCCAAGCAACTACCCTACTCCCAAATTACCACTGTTTGGCATGTCCTAGTCAACCCATCGCTAACTGACAATGAATTATTCTGCTACTTCGCGATGTCCATTAGCTGGTATGGGGAGCATTATCCCTCCTGACTGCTCTCTGCAAACTAGAATATATACATTTCACGTCACACTAATATTTAGAACACGTCAGTAGGAGATTTATCCATCGGCGATGGAAAAGTTCCTTGTTAAACAGAATTTAGAGCCATGATCAGCTTTTTTCTTCTTGGGGGGGGGGGGGGGGATGGGGGTAGGGGTGAGGGGCTGCTCATGCAAAATGTAACGGCCCTACCCCCAAATCGATGACTGACATACACCGCGATATGTTGTTACGGAACAAAATCTTCAGACAACATTTTTGACAAAAGTATCAGGAATTGAGGAGGTGATATGGGGATAGGAGGGCCTGGCCCTTACTTATAGCCCATCCCTCGCTATTTACTACGATGAGGGAGATGCTCCGAATGCACGGAGACTTTGTACTTCCTGTACGTAAACTAAGTTTATTGGAAGAAATGAGGTTATGATAATGGTGATATTCTTTTGCGTGTTTGTTTGTTTAGATGTGCGAATGATAGACACTGTTTGTGATTAGTATTACAATAGTTAATGATATAGTTGATGATGCAAATAAGTCTCATTCTCATTGCAATTACACAATATTTCTGTAGTTTCCAATAGTTAATCAATGTGATTTGAATAGTATAAGGCCTGATCAGTTTAGTTTACGTGACGTTGGCGACAAGAACGAACTCCTTGATATTGCAAGTGAACGATTGCACAGCGCGTATATTACGTCCGACATTGTCCGTGTTCTTCCCGTAAACAATTTTATGTGAGAGAAGGCTTCACATTTTTACAAAAGCGCAATCAAAAGAAAATAAACACGTAACAGAAGTGCATCCTGACATATATAAACAGAGCTACGTCCGATGTAGAGTAGGTGAGAAGGGATAGATGCCGGGGATAGATGAAAGGAGGAAAATCATGACTGCGTCACTGAGAGAAAACAAAGAAATGTTACATAAAGGGGAGGAAAAACAGGGGTTATACTTGAGTCACACCGACGAGACCGATATCAGATCGACGCAAGATCGACAAAAGACCGACCAAGTAAATTATATTATCCCTATGGCAAAAAAAGAACAATATAAGAAAAATATAACTATATAGTGATATAATAAGGGTGATTAAAATGAAGGGGACTAGATGGAAAAGAAATTTGTTAAAGAGATAGCATTGGACAAAATAATTTGATGAGACCAAAATATAAGATTGAAAAACACGAGAATAGACCGAGCGAATTTATGACAAAATAATAACGTAGGGCCTACTAATGCGACTCTGATGACGAAAGCAATGATGCACTAAAAAAAAGTTTTGTGTAACGGGTCCCATGAGGATAGTGAAGAAAATCGATTAATGAAACATGGGGCAGGAAGAAGTAGTAATATTCCCGGAGTGGGAGAGCGATATTCCTAGAGAGAAGAAAGTCCGACAATCTTTACGTGGAAAAATGGATAGAATATAAAAATTGCGATGATTACGTCTTTTATTTTGTGTGACGGTCGTATTATTTTGCTCAGTTAATCAGAAATTTAATGAATATTGGTCAATAAAATGTATAACCGCGGTGACCTTTATAGTGATATTCTGTTCCACTGTCCCTCTCTCGATGATGACTCATAAACAAGTCAAATATCATTATTCACATCTTAGGAAACTCAGAGATAATGAATTATTCATGCCCCATTCATTGGCCGAACCATTACCAAATACAGATATCCCACGACTTTATCAGTGTCTCCTAATATGGTAATCCGATACGATCGCCATCTTTAATTCATGAGCTAATTTGTTTGTCGTGTGAGAACAAAAAAGTGCACAATGATGGTGCGGTAATATTTGACGTCTGACTGGGTGTTTGCCTAAGCAAACGGTCAACGTAGTTTTAGCATTAATAGCACGGATATGCTGCCTTGAATCGAACAATCTTTGAACAAGACAGACGTTTTTTTAAATCTTATTAATTGTATTGTATTGTATTGCATTTATTTAATCGCGTTAAAATCTGGTCTCAGGCTAGAAGGTGCTTTTCAACAAGGCATCGTACAGAAGTTCAAACAAAGCAATGCACTCATGTACTTAACATGGCTACAGAACGATATACAAGAAAATCACATAAATTCATACAACAATAACAAAATTTAAACGACATCGGAAATAAAACGGCATTATTACAAATAAAGCGACAGTAAAAGTAAAAATAAAAAGTACATAAATTAGTTTATCATGACCAGTAACAATTAGCGAGTGTGTGGGTGTATTTAGGATGGGAGAGACTTCGTACGAATGCTGCTATTGTAATATATTTTTGCCGGTAGGTTCTTAAAAAGCTTACAGGCTGAATACAATGGACCGACCTTCTAAAAAGGTTTGTATGTGGCCGTGGTAGTTCGGTCTGATACGTCATGTTATCATGTTTAGTCTGATTTAGAATATAACGTCAATGTGTGAGGTTATTTTTCTACCTTTCGAGAATTATTTTTAAATGCAATAGTACATTTGATTTTAATTGGTCAGAACTCAGAACCAGATATTCATCTTAAAAAAAGAAAAGAAAAAAGTATTGGTCAAAAGTTGATTTTGCAACTTTTGGAAGCTCTGCGTTTTATTGTACATATACACACGCGCACCCTCACGCAAACACCCTTTTCCACACACTCGCGCACGCACATAAATGATACCCCCCCCCCCCCCCCCCATCCAAGGGATTTACGCCCTTGGCGGCATGAAACAAACATACATAAATTTCACGAAGTTGCGCAAGAACCCAAAATGGTGGCTCGTTAAGAAGTTCACGAGGACAAAGTCTTTCTGATAAGATCTTTATTAGTTTATTGGCAAGATAACAGATGAGGCTATTACTCATTAACGTAACAAATCGCCGAGTAAAATACACCTCAAAATGTAATTACACTATAGTATTGGTCCATTGCATGATGAAAATATGAACCAAACAAATAATTAAAAAAAGAAACTGGTATGGAGATAAAAACAAGATAAAATGTTTGTGAGTATTTTACGTGCTTTTAGTTTATTTTACTTTATTATCTGTTATTGTTAATTTTAATTTACTGGCAAGATAACATAAGAGGCTATTATTTATCAACGGAGCAAATTGCCGAGTAAAATACACCTAAACAATTGGTCCATTGAATGATGAACATATGAAACAAAGCAGATTTGTTCAAGATGAAACTAGTATAGATAAATTATAGAGATAAAAAAACAAGATAACACGTATATGAGTATTTTCATGCTTTTAGTTATTTTACTTTATTGTTGTTATTTTTAGTTTATTGGTAAGATAACAAAAGAGGCTATTATTCATTAACGGAACAAATTGCCGAGTAAAGTACTCCTCAGAAATTATACTATTGGCCCATTGAATGATGAATATTGTTTTTTTACGCTCATCTTTTATGCGAGGATAATAATTGAATCAGATGAGGTAACAAAAGGAAGCTAAGTTCTACCCGTGTTATGTAACCAAAGTTTCCGTTACGTATGTTTTATGACGTGTGAAGTAATAAACGCTGTTATATAACACTGCGCCATATATCACATGCTTTCATGCATGGCTGTACAATAACGAGAAGGGAATTCATATGACGTATTATTGAAGTAAAAATGATTGAAAGCATTTTTTGCTTCAATTTTGTAATGACCTCAATTTAGATTTTAGAGAATTACCATGGAAAGGATGGGACGCGTTATCCCCCCCCCAATACCATAATGCACATGAAATGTTATAAGTCATTCATTTTGACATGTTTCAAATATATCTCGCTCTGTTTTTCATGGTAGTTACATGTAAAAGTTAAAACATACCGTGATACAACCCCCTCTCTGTCTCTCCTCCCCTCTCTCTTTCTTCTCCACCTCTCTCTCACTCTCTCCTTTTTCTTGTTTTCATGTACTTAAATCTTAAAACATTCTATAACCTTACTAAAGTCATAATTGTGATATAATTGTGTTGATGCAGTCGAGTGTGCTTTAGTACAATATGATCCCGAGACTGTAGAAAATATTTGTTTTCTTTTTAATAATGTGCTTACCCATGAATTCAAAACAAATGTTATGAATTTAATTATGTGATTTCTTTGACTGCAGGTTTTGGTATAGCCTTTTGGAAGAGTTGGGAATTGACCCTCGTTCTTCTATCCACGACCCCTCTACTAGCAGCAGCTGGGGGCTTCATGGCTTATGTAAGTACATCAAGGATAGGTATTTAAAGCAGCACTGTACTATTTGTAGCTACTTGCGCCCTCTATATAGCAAACAATGCCTAATCGGTGACCATTGGTCCCCATGATCCACTTTTCCCCATGTTAATTAAGAGCTGATTCGATGAGATAGCCACCTGTCAGTGATCTAATCCCTCCTAGCCAAACTAGTACAGACGGGCTTTAAAGCTTTCCTGCATGGTCCATGCTCCCCATTTATAAAAGATGTTATGTCTCCTATTTGTATTACTATCTTTATAATTTTGTTTTCCAGTTCGTACTAGATAACAGACAAAAAGAGGGCGATGATGTAACACTAGTGGTGTGATCCCTTACCCCTCCTAAACTCTCACACCCCTACCATGATATTTATTTATTAATTGTTTATTCCTTTTTTCATTTAATTGATTTTATGAGTAAACAGGATGGCTCATTTCGCCTTTAAAATTGTTATTCCCTCAAGAAATTTTTACAACATTTACCCATTATATGTATTGAATTAAATTTCATATTTTATTGCGACAAATTGGCAACACCAGTGAACCTAAACGTCTTACTGATTATGTTTCTCTAGTTTCTGACATCCTTCGCAAAGCTAGAGCAGGAGTCGTACGCCCAAGCCGGGAGTGTCGCGGAGGAGGTTTTGTCTTGCATCAGGACTGTCATAGCATTTGGAGGAGAACAGAAGGAGGTCACTAGGTAAAATATAGTTTTCAAACTGTTATCAAATGAAGGTTAATATACTAAGTAACAATATGAAAATGTCAACTTCTAACAAAATTCTTCTCAAGCCATGGTAGAGACATTGGTCATAAGCATATGAAGATGATAAACTAAAGATGATCATGATTTACATCCAAATACTTTTTCTTCTTCCAAATGTTTACAAATTTATATATAACAGCAAATAAACAACTTATGCAATATCAACATAATCTTTAACAATGCAAGTGTTTTTGCATGACTTCAGATCTTTACAAATTTACAGCCTAAAAAGTGTGTCCTCCGAAAAGACCCATCATTAAAAAGTCTTTTAATAAGGTGTTTATTAATGCTCAACTCCTTATATTTACAAATCCCTTGAATGTTCATATATTCCCCAGCAATTTCAAAGGACCAGCTAATTTATAGACCTCTCATATATTTCTTTTTATCAACCCTTCATCTTTTCTCCATTCTCTCCATTCCTCAGGTACGAGAAGGAGCTGAAAGAAGCCAGAGATGTGGGCGTGAAGAAGGGCGTGACTTCGGGCGTCGGCATGGGTATCACCATGTTCATCATGTTCGGGTCCTATGCACTTGCTTTCTGGTGAGAACCCCATTGGATTAAGGTTGATGCATGATTGTATGATTGAACTCTCATGTGTTTTATTAAGTTAGAAACATATTGGAAACATCACACCTATACGTATTGCTTGGAAAATTGCTGTTCATTAAGTGGTTTCTTGTTCTACACAAACGATGGTTCTAGGACAATTACCTCCTGGAAAATATAATTGAAAAAATAAAAATAGCAATACCTGTAATTGTAATAATCTGTAATTGTAATAATGCGTAATTATTCATCACCATTTCAAGGTATGGGCCTAAACTCGTTGCCGATGGGCGTATAACTGGTGGTGACGTCATGATCGTATTCTTCAGCGTCATGATCGGTTCGTTCTCCATCGGCAACATCTCGCCTTCCATGACAGCAATCACGGCAGCAAGGGGCGCGGCAGTGACCCTCTTCGACGTCATCGATGCTGTAAGTCCCTGCTCTTGCCACTCTTTCAATTCCTGTGTTCACCTCTTTTCTCGCTAACATTCTCTTTCCCTATCTCCATTTCTTTTTCTTTCCCTCCCCCTCTCGCCTTCTTCCCATTTTTGTGCTATTTCTCTGGTTTCCCTCCTTTCCCCCTTTTCTTCATCACCCCTTCCTCTCCCTCTCTTTTCACTTGTTTCTCTCAGTTTCAGTTTTCCCCAGTTTGTTTATATTCTGCTGGTATAAACAACCCAACAATTGAGAATCCCTTCATTTTCGAAATGCAGAACCACAAAATTGACTTGAAGTGCATAATGAGCCATTAAATGGTTCTAGAAAATGATATTGTTTAAAGGTCAGGATGAATGCCAGATAACTTGAACTACATTGAAATGGGCAGACCCCATTTCTTGTAATCTTGAACCGGGATATCCCTTTAGACTGACAGCACATGAGACTTTAATAATGCTCACAAGACCAACGATGTTGGTCTCGTCACGAACCCTCAGAAAAAATTATCAGAGGTCCGCAAAACCAAAATTTGGTTTTAAGGGCTGCCAATCTGGTACTTCGTTGGTTTAGTGAACCCTCATAGCTTCAGAAGGTCCTTAAGGATTATGGCAATCTTGAAATGTATTGTTTGCATGTTTGAATATATAAATCATACACAGCGGTGAGGGCATTAGTAAGAATTACCCACACAGTACCTTTGGAACAGTCTAACAGCCGAGGGTGTTTGGACTGCTTTGAAGGTACCGAGTGTGGGTTATTTTACTAATGCCCAAACAAAATGATGCGTATTATTTGTTTTATAAGATTATGTTTTATAACATGATTTTGATAATATGACTGATTATTACCATTGGATAATGACCGGTCATTAAATCCAAGTTAGGCAAAATAAATGCCTGGTCACGTGTACGCTTTCAACCATTCATTTGATTAGGATCCACGTCAACATCTTATAAATGAAAATCAGATAAACAACCAATTGCTCTCTTTCTTTCTCTGTCGATCACCAGAGGCCAGCTATCGATACTCGCTCCAAGAAGGGGATCGTACCGGCAGAGATGACGGGGAACATAGACTTCCAAGGGGTGGAATTCTCTTACCCCACCCGGGACGATGTACCGGTGTTGAAAGGTGTAGACCTGAGCATTAGGAAGGGGCAAACAGTGGCCTTGGTGGGGTCCAGTGGATGTGGCAAGTCGACCACTATCAACCTGCTCCTACGATTCTATGAAAAGTTGGGTGGCAATGTGAGTAAACGAAGATTAACATTCACACAAAAAAATGTTTTTGAAGTGTGCAGGGGGGAGTTTCATACAGCTGTTCGTAAAGTTACGCATGACTTTACGAACGACTTGTATATGAAAAGCCAAATGGGATGCTCAATCATTATTACCTGCATCAACTAAAGTTGAACTGTGCAGATATAGATTAACATTCTTATTATAACAAACATTTTTAATGCAAAGTATATTTTTTGCCATAATTTAATTGTGGTTATTGGAAATATCAAAAAAACTTTGGACATCCTATCTGGCACTTCATATACAAGTTGTTCGTAAAGTCACCCGTAACTTTACGAACAGCTTTATGAAACACCCCCTGGTGTGTTTGGTCTTTCAAGTTTCTTCAATGCTATTGCCAAAGACATTCTAAATCTTTCCTTCTCTATCCCAGCATTTCTGATTTAAATAAATTGATTACACGTTGTATCCTCGAATCTAAAGATATGTGTCAAAGAACTTCCCATTTTGTTATCTCTCAACACAAACAGTTGTGTTTCGATCCTTCAGAATGTTTGTTCAACTCAAGTACAGTGGTTAAATTACCTGTTCATACTATTACTTGTACTGTTTGTCCCAAACTAGGCACCATATCTTTCTCTTTCGACCCATGCTACGTAAATATTTACCCAGTGAAAAGATATTTGTTAGTTATAATGGCAACCTGATGAGAACAGTGCCCCATTTCACAAAACTTGTCATCAGTGACAAATGAGAGTTTTTGTTACAAGCTAGTGAAATCTTTGCTTTTGATTGGTTATCAGCAGATTTCTCACTCATTTTCGTCATTTGTCAATGGAAAGAGGCGTTGTGAAACGGGTTCCAGGAGGGATATTTCAACACCCTGTGTGTCATTGTGTGATGGATATGAATGCTAAAAAAATGCCGACATTGATGTTAGGACTATCTCCTTACATTATCCTCATTTGAATATTACCTGATGATAAATACCCGTATTGGTTCTATATCACTCTCATCTCATCTAAAGATCCTAATCGACGGGCATAAGATTGAAGAGCTGAACCTCCACTGGTTGAGGAGACACATGGGTGTGGTCAGCCAGGAGCCGGTCCTCTTCAACTGTTCCATAGAAACCAACATCTCTTACGGAAGAGACGGTGTCACCAAGGAGGAAATCATCAAGGCTGCCAAGATGGCCAACGCCCATGACTTCATCTCAAAACTACCCAAGGTGGGTCTGACATTGTCAAAGAAAAATCAAAATTGGGTCTATGTCCATTTGATTTAGGGTGGTCATCAGAAATGATGTAGTTGACTTTAAAAAACAAACAGGTTTAGGTACATGATAATAAAGAATATCGTCAAGGTACATTGACTGCAAATACACACAGACTATTTAGATCAGTGGGAAGAGTATTGATAAGGGAAATGGAAGACCTTCTCTGTATTATGGGGCGTTCCAAGAAAGCTGCAATCAATTGCGAATCCCCCAAATCAAGCATAAGTCTTGATCGCAACTCAACTCTCTTTAAACTCTCCATTAATAAGAGAGAAAGAGAGAGAGAGAGAGAGAGAGAGAGAGAGAGAGAGAGAGAGAGAGGAGGGAGAGGGGGGGGGGGAATAAAAGCTAGATCTAGTTAATAACTTAATTTGATTGTTAAAACTTCAATCCTAACAAAATCCTAGGAAATTTAGGAGACCAGTAGGAGGGGGGGGGGGGGGGGGGGTTGCAAGAAAGTTAATTTGCAATCGATTGCAAATAGTAGTTGCAAATTTTGCAACTTGCAATCAATCGCAACTTTTTTGCTCATTATGCGAGCATGCTTGCCGATCCATCTACAAGATAGGGGTAGAAAGTAGCGATCTGCATCCGTACATATTACTTCCTTGAATACACAATTAATTCAATTCCATTCAACTGAGCTCACTTTATTTCAAATCAATTAATATATATATATTAAAGGGAAAATCATGATATAAAAATCATAAAAGTATAGACAAATGGAAGTTGCGGTTGGTGGAAAATAAACACCCCCCCCCAAAAAAAAAAAAAAAAAAAAAAAAATTAATAAAAAATGAAAGGTTTTGTTAGGGCACCAATCTTTAATTTTTAGCGGGAATGCTTGACCCTTAAATCAATGACCTCGACTGTAGTTTTGTCAATAGATATCATAATATCCTATTAGGGGCGACTACCATGGTCACAGGGCTCAACAGCCAATCAAAAGCAAGGTTTTCATGGTAGTTACTATTGATGGCAAAGCAATGGTAAGTTTTGTGCAACTGGCCCTACGTTTTATACTATATTTCTAATTTCAAAGTTTATGACATGGACGTTTCATAAAGTGAAATGCGGGCATGATCCTACATGGTGAGGTTGTGTACATCTCAGTCATAACGTCTCTGTCAATTTCATCGTGCAGGGTTATGATACGATGGTTGGTGAGCGTGGAGCCCAGCTGTCCGGTGGTCAGAAGCAGAGAGTAGCCATCGCCAGAGCTCTGGTCAGAAACCCACCTATCCTTCTACTGGACGAAGCCACCTCAGCCCTGGACCGAGAGAGTGAGAAGGTCGTACAACAAGCTCTGGATAAGGTAAGACTGGTAGCTAAAAAAGATTAGAAATATTGTTTTCTCCCAAGAATTTTTGTAATCATACTTGCACCCTATAAATAGTTATTTAAACACTGTTTTTATTCAATACCTATATGGAAAAAATATATATTCCGTCATGAATAAGGAAAAGAATTGTCACTAGAGAAACAATGATGAACCCCTGTAAATGAAGTTTTCCTGGCATCTACTGAATGTTTTTCTGTACAGACCAAATTGGAGAGGAGCTCACAAGATACGTCACAGTGTAGCCAATTTGTGTTTGATTGATAGTAACTTCAATAACTCATAATTTTGTTTAAATGCTAATTTGCTCAAACATTCCCTGACCTGTTCCTCTTATTCTTCTGCTTCTAATGGAACCAACTTAGTATCAGGATGGATTTCCCCCTTAAAGTACAAATTAACAACACATTTGCAGATCCAAGGGGAGATTTATTGATTTGCTGGCCAACACTTTTTTAATTTGTTTGGTTTTTTGCATTTAGGGAAACCTTACTTAATTCACTTTTGTTCTGCCATTTTCTCTTTAATTATTCTGATGTATAGAACGTAACGTTAGGCTCACTAAATATGATCTGCATTGCACTTAAATCTTAAAGTGCAAATGTATAAAACTTGATTATTTACCCTGATTATTTATTATGGAGTGTTTTCAGATTTCAATTGTTCTGCCATTTTCTTTATCATCCTGAATAAACTTGTATAGGCTTCGGAAGGTCGCACAACCCTCGTGATTGCTCACCGCTTGACTACCATCAGGAATGCTGACGTCATCTACGCCTTCGAAGACGGGCGGGTCGTCGAGTTTGGTGATCACGCTGAGCTGATGAAGAGAGACGGGGTCTACAAGCAGCTTGTGACCCTGCAGACTCTTGATGGTGCTGGTGGTACGTTAGAATACATGTAGGCCTATCTATAGAGAGGGGCGATGTATGACACCTCCCCCCCCCTTCATGACAAAAACGTTATCATTCCAGGGAAAGGATCCTACCTCCCCCCTCCCATGCCCTTCGACTCAACTGAATTCCAACAATCCTGTTCCTTAGGAAAGAAATTACTTTGAGCTCATTGTGTTTTGAGCAAAATGTTGTTGGATCATGAAATCATATACATGTACATCCAAAGTGAAGAAGATTAATATCAAAGGTTGGTTAGCAATTTTGAACAAGATCTTTGGATGCTATTATTGTTATTTATTTTTTAAGGAAGGTGCTGCTACAATCAAAGATCCATATGTTTAAACGTTGGTGCTGTTTTGCATCCCCCCCTTTCTTTTTTTACAGAGGAATCAACATCAACTTCAAAAGAAGTTGTTCGAAAAGAATCCATCAAACGACTACCATCTCGTCAAATGTCTCGTCAGATCTCACGACAAATGTCCAACGGCAGTGGCAAAATGGAAGAAAGTGTTGAGGTAAGTGAAGGTTTCTTACTACCTGTACATTTACATGTGTGTTTTTTAGGCTCATTTTTTCTTAGCTCGGTCTCTCACTCAGTACTGCAGTCTTGCATGTCGGAATACTAAAAAATTAGGCACATGCCAGATTCATTTTCTTGTTTCATTTCATTTTACAGATATTTTTAAGAGATGTCAAATGTGATCGATATTTTATTTTATTTCTGCATTTTTCCAAATATATTAACAGAATAACAAAGAATATAAAAACATGAGGTATAATACAAAATATAAAAACAATGATAAATTCATGTGCAAATGTTTTTCTTTCTTTTTTTTTTTTTTACATATGTACATATAATAACGAAACTTGATATTTCTATAACATATAAATTTAAAGTATTATCCAAACTATCAATTGAAAAAGTGCAGAAGACCGCGATCATAAGCGAAGCTTGACTAGGATGGCGGCCTCAACAATATTAACCACATTCCTATTTTTTATGTTGGTTCACAGGTAAAGGAAGAAGTTGAGGAGGAGGAGGTGGAGGAGAGAGGTTATCTTGAAATCTTGAAGATGAATAAACCGGAGTGGCTTTACATCGTTGTCGGCTGCGTTTTTGCTGGAATCCTTGGAGTCGCCATGCCTGCTTTCGCTATTCTTTTCAGCGAGGTCATCGCGGTAAGTAGATCGGCAAATACGTGTGTGGGTAGAAAACAGTGGAAGCATCAAGATATTTTGCTTTGGGATGCATGGTAAAAATTGCCCCCATGGGTATGATATTTTGGTTAGTTGACAATTAAATCTATCAACAGCATGATTATATATAAAGACTAAAACAGTGATGGATATCTATACTGGGAGGAGCCTTATCAGTTCAATGGCCTTTGCTATATACTCCCTCACATCCACTTTATCACAGTGTTAGCATCCTTTCTCATTTTTATCATTTTTCTAATTTCTGTACACTGTTGTTCTTAAATTGTTAATGTCTGCATTCATTGTACTTTTTAAGAGATGTGAAATGAATAAATTTGAAAATGAATTTGAACTTGACTTTCAAGAAATCATCATTCACGGAAGGGGCATTTCAATAGCTTTGTGCGTAATCTACTGAAGCCACATTCTACTAATAAAACCCCACTAGTGCCATTTTGTGTCAGCTGTAGCAGTATGGTCCACTAACTATATACTGCGCTTTTTGTTCTATATTGCATCGAATCCTCTGAAATTGGGTTACCTGCACAGTTAACCATGTGATGATGCTGTACAATAAACAGCACGCTAGGGCAGAGAGTTCATCAGTTCAGTAGCGCTTTAAATTTTTATGCCTCCGCCACCGAAGGTGGTGCCGGAGGCATCATGTTTTCGGGTTGTCCGTCCGTACGTCCGTCCGTCCGTCCGTCCGTCCGTCCGTCCGTCCGTACGTCCGTCCGTCCGTCCGTACGTCCGTCCCGTTTGACCGTTATCACAATATCTCAAGAACCATTTAAGATTTAAACTTAAGACTCGGGAATAGTATTTATCACCATAGGAAGACGATCTGATTAGATTTTGGAGTACGTAGGTCAAAGGTCACAGGTCACAGAGGTCAACTTATGAAATTCCTTGTATTGAGTTTGTTAGCGCGATATCTCAAGAACCATTTGAGATTTAAACTTCAAACTTAAGGATAGTATGTATCACCATAGGAAGACGATCTGATTAGATTTTGGAGCACGTATGTCAAAGGTCAAGGGTCACAGAGGTCAACTTATGAAATTCCATACATTGAGATTGTTATCATGATATCTCAAGAACCACTGGAGATTTAAACTTCAAACTTAGTGATAGTGTGTATCACTATAGGAAAACAATCTGATTACATTTTGGAGCACGTAGGTCAAAGGTCAAGGGTCATAGAGGTCAACTTATGAAATTCCATACATTGAGATTGTTATCATGATATCTCAAGAACCACTGGAGATGTAAAAACTTCAAACTTAAGGATAGTATGTATCACCATAGGAAGATGATCTGATTAGATTTTGGAGTACGTAGGTCAAAGGTCAAGGGTCACAGAGGTCAACTTATGAAATTCCATACATTGAGATTGTTATCATAATATCTCAAGAACCACTGGAGATTTAAACTTCAAACTTAATGATAGTGTGTATCACCATAGGAAGACAATCTGATTAGATTTTGGAGCACGTAGGTCAAAGGTCAAGGGTCACAGAGGTCAACTTATGAAATTCCATACATTGAGATCGTTATCGCGATATCTCAAGAACCACTGGAGAATTTTCACTTCAAACTTAATGATAGTATGTATCACCATATCATAATATCTCAAGAACCACTGGAGATTTAAACTTCAAACTTAATGATAGTGTGTATCACCATAGGAAGACAATCTGATTAGATTTTGGAGCACGTAGGTCAAAGGTCAAGGGTCACAGAGGTCAACTTATGAAATTCCATACATTGAGATTGTTATCATGATATCTCAAGAACCACTGGAGATTTAAACTCCAAACTTGTTTAAATTGCTCTATGGCGGAGGCATCATTTTCGACTGCGCGCAGTCAAAATTCCATCTAGTTTGAAATGTAATAATGATTAATGATTTATACATGTAATACAATATAAGATCAAAATGGCCCTTGGGTTGGTTTCTCAAAAGTGTTTTTTGATGGTGGTATTCAAAAGAACTTCTTTGATCTAATTTTTTTACTTCATTTTTGTTCTCACTTTTTTGCTGTGATCAATATTTAAAGCCAGCTTATTTGAGTTTTAAGGTCTAAATGTAAAGACAATTATTTGACAAGAAATTCTTTGGCTCGATCACCTTTGCGCTTCAGATCTTCAGTTTGCCCGCTGACGAATTGAGAGAGGAATCTGTTTTCTGGGCCCTGATGTTCCTGGCCCTCGGAGGAGCATTCTTTGTGAGTAACAGCGTCACCGGTTACTGCTTTTCGATCTCTGGAGAGGAGTTGACCCTGAGGCTTCGCAAGAAAGCGTTCTGGACCATCCTCCGTCAGGTAGGCCTATATCTTGATCTCTATTGAATTTGATCATGCTAGCTTGCTGCACGGAAGTTATCAATACATTATTATTTTGATTTATTTGTATCCAACATGTGATCGCATTTCAACATAAGCTGATTTTCAAAGTGGTCATGATTTGCAACTGTTTGAGAGAGAGAGAGAGAGAGAGAGAGATTGAGAGAAAGAGAGAGACTGTTAGGCCCAGTCACAGTAGGATAATATTCAATCAAAATTGTACTTACATGGCAAAAGAACAATTCAAATTAAACAAAAACATTTTCAACTGAATAGAAAGAAATTCATGCACTTTTCAGTCACTGGTTGACATTCTTATTAATTGTTATATATATATATATATTTTTTTTTTTTAAAGGACTGTGCATATTTTGACCAACCAAGTCACAGTACTGGTGCCCTTGCTACAAGGCTATCATCAGACGCATCAAATGTCAAAGGGGTAAGTCAAATTAAAGAAATAGAAAGGATGTTTTGAAACCCTTTATATGTCATGCATAATATTGTCCCTGTCCCAAATGTTATTTATCGTGGGATAATATTTATCGTGGGATAAATATACCAAAGGTTTCAAGATTATTAAACTGTTTCCAATGCAAGATTAATCTATGTCAGTGTCAAAAGAGTATTGTTTAGCGCAATATCGCATGCGTGGCAAATTAGCGACTATGCAGAAAGGTAAAAGAAGCAACTTTAATTTCTTTGAACATGTTTAATCCATAATAAAAAAAATACAGCATTATTGCCAGTGAAGCTGAAATGGTTTTATTTGAAAAAAATATATAATTGAGGTAATTATTCTAAAAGATCATACAATTCCCAGGCTAATTGTGAAATCTATGTAAGAATTATGTTGTATATATACAGGATTTAGAATAAGGAAGGGGGCACAGCTGTTTCCAACATATATTTCTTAAATTTGTTTTAAATGCTTATAATTGATTTGTAATGTTTGAATCTGAATTTGAATGGAAAAAATCTTAAAGGCCCACTGCACTACTGGTAGCTACTTGCTCCCTCTATATAACAAACAATGCCTAATTGGTGACCATTGGTCCCCCATGATCCTCTTTTCTTATGTTAACTGAGAGCTGAGTTGATGAGATAACCACCTGTCCAGTGACCTTGCAGAGCGGTCTAATCCCTCCTGTAAACTATGGCAGTTAAGCTTTAAACAAGCATGAAAAATTAAACATTTCAAAGGGGGTCTACAAGCACATATTAATGCCTCCTTCTGATATGATGTGGCAAAACTGCATTGGTTCTTTTATAATGACATACTTAAAGGTAAAGACCAGTATTGGAAACGCCCCAATTTCAAAAAATGAAATGGAAGCTCTCATTACCAATCATGTGAAAGAATATGTTTTGACTAATACATGATGATAAAAAATTTGCCGGGAACCGCCGGGAAACCGCCTAATAATTCATATATTTGGTAAATTTGTTTCTCTCATGGTCTGTGAGAGATATAGGGTAGTCCCATATACATCTTTCTGTGTATAGTGCTTGTAACTTTACGAAGAATGGGCCAAATTTCTTATCATTTTGATGATTCCAGAACCTTGCAGATGCTAGATACTAGATGATCAACCTTTTCTGATCGATTCCACAACGTTTCTTTCACAATGCAATCGCATGACCATAACTGGTCTTTACCTTTAAAGCGTAATACATTTCAAACTTCTATAACACAGAGCTAAGGAGATGCGCACAGGGCCTTTGTTGTGTGAAGTTTCCATTCATTTTAAAGGGATAGTTGAGTTTTGTTTTCAGACCGCAAATGCCTTCAAAGTGCATGGTTATTGCTCTTATTCTTATCTATGACATTTATAGTGCCCTTTTAGAACCTAAAATTGCTATGAAGGTAATTTTAGACCCCAAAATGTATAAAATTTAGCCAACACAATCATACCAATTCAGCTCCACTTAGAAAAAAAACATGGTGACCGTTAATTAATTATTTACTTAAAATTAACAATACATGAGCCAGCTAATTGTGGGTAATATAAGCAACACGAAAATGCCAACAAAAAAGCCAACATCGGCATTGACTGAAATACGATGTAAAAGGGGTTATTTCTTTTTTTTCAACGTTTTTTTCAAATTTGTCAAAATATCTAATATTTGTGGTGGTACACAAGTATTAGAAATTGTTATATTTCAGCCGTCTCTGAACCGATTTTGATCAGACAAAGATGATTTTGTCATTTAAATTTCTTTCAAATTTGACAGTTTTTCATTATCTCACAACAAAATTATTTTGTATAGTGCCCTCTGCAACATAACTCCACTATCCCTTTAAGTGTTGCATTGTTTTCTTGGGGTGGTTTACCATGTGATATCTGGAAGAGATTAGAGTTTACTTTAGTATGAACAAAGGGCATAAACTAGTTGTGCCCTCCCTCCCCCCCCCCCACCAAGTCTTCAGTTGTCTCAATTTAAGTCTCTGCCATCCTCCTCCGTCTACGCAGGCCACCGGAATGCGCATCAGCACCATCGTGCAGGCTATCGTAACCATGGTCGTCGCTATCACCATTGGCTTCGTCTTCGGCTGGAAGTTGGCTCTCCTCATCTTCGGTTGCCTCCCGGTCCTGGCCCTCTCCGGTGCTCTTGAGATGAAGATCCTCCAGGGTGGGCATGAGAAAGACGCCGCCCTCATCGAGGAAGCCGGCAAGGTACGGACTCGTTCAAAATCTTTTTTTTTCTCCATGCAATTTTGATTCGCCATGTCAACCTTAATAGAAAGTCGGGACACCTTTTATCTTATATCCCACCGCTGCCACCATGACTTTAACCCATTGCTTACTGGAACCTGGTGGTCTCTGTGTTCAGTCTATGGGAATTAGATAATTCAGTAGTCAACGGGTTAATGAATGACTTAAAGAAATTGATTGATTTTCTAGAAAGAAAAGATAAAGGGTAAGTTTTCATAAATTCATATCTCTCATGTGTAGGCCTATCACACTTTTATATAAACTAACTATTTTTATTCTTGAAATGGAACCTTCTTTTTAAAATTGGATATCTATTTTAACTTTAAGTGATAATGACTTCTATTTTTTGTTCTCTATATGTTTGTTTATATCTGTACATGCCCAATGTTATAACAGCATCAACTAGTATTTGTACAAACTTCATTCCCCTGTTTTTAATAGAGTGCAATTGAGTATACTATTTGTTAATGTCGACTGGTTTACTCACATATTGCTTTTCTCTTAACCCGTTGACTACTGAACTCTCTATTTCCCATAAGCATAGTACAAGGACCACTCGGTTTCAATTTAATTTATCTATATCTATCTATATCTATACATAAGTGCCATTTAGAGCTTACATTTTTTCTTCATATATAAATTGAGATCCCAGCACGAAACTCTGAATACAAAGAGAAAAAACGTTTTTAGTTATACATGTAGGTCTCTTTCGAGTTTCAAAAATTGGTTCATACCTTTTATACCATCATCATTCCTCTTCTCTTCACTCTACAGATTGCCGCCGAAGCAATTGAGAACGTTCGTACTGTAGCCTCTCTCAACCTTGAGGATAGGATGATTGCGAATTATACTGAGCAGCTGCAAAACCCCTACAGGTAAATGGAACGATCCAAAACTATTCTTAACTATTCAGAGAAAAAAACCTATTATCCTTCAGTTTAACAGAACGATCCATGTTTTAGCAGTTAGAAAACCCATAAATGTGATGTGCCTACATCCTTCATTAATTAATATAGGGTCTATATATATACATATATATATATATATATATGGGTCTAGTCATTGTTAGAGGTCCACTTAAATATAATTTGCTTTTAAAGCAGAACTGCACTACTTGTAGCTACTTGCGCCCTCTATATAACCAACAATGCCTAAGTGGTACCCATTGGTCCCCCATGATCCCCTTTTTCTTATGTTAAGTGGGAGCTGATTTCATGAGATAACCACCTGTTAGTGACCATGCAGAGAGGTAAATCCCTCCTGGCCAAACTAGTGCAGACAGGCTTTAAATCTACTATAATATCATCTGTATAAAAATCATTAAATGGGTCCGTTGTTTTCTTTCCCTTGATCACTTGTTACAGGCAAGGAAAGATTAACAGCCAGATTAATGGTCTGGCCTTTGCTGTCTCCCAGGCGATGATCTTCTTCATCTATGCAGCATCCTTCCGTCTGGGAGGATACTTGGTATCCATTGGTGATATGACAGTAGATGAGGTCTTCAAGTGAGTGTTTAGTGATTCTAGATTCAACATAATGTAAACTGGATTGGTCCATGGTCAGATGGATAGATATATATAGGCTTTGGTGTCTCACAGAGAATGATCTTCTTAATCTATGCTGCATCATTCAGGCTTTAAGGGTATAAGACCCGCTGGAGAGATTAGCAGAGATGATGTTTTTAAGTGATTGTGTGATTCAAGATTAAAGATAGATGGATGGATAGATGGATAGATAGATATATAGAGAGATAGATGGATGGATAGATAAAAAGCTAGATAGATGGATAGATAGATAAAGCTTTGGTGTCTCACAAGGAATGATCTTTCATCTGTGCCATATCATTCTGTCTATGAGAATACCTGGGTCCAGTCTTACAAAGAGGTGTGATTGATCCAAATCAATCGCAAGTTTATAGTCTCCTATCTCTTATTTCATAATCAGTCTCAAACAGGTGATACATTCTTAATTGTTATGTCATTTTGTCTTTGGTGATAAAACCTTCATTCTTTTATTTACTATAGAGTTGTCTTTGGGGTTGCTTTTGCCGGCATCTCGGTCGGTCAGTCACTGGCTTTCCTCCCAGACTACGCCAAAGCTCGCCACTCAGCAGATCTTATGCTCCACCTGTTCAGCATCAAGCCGCTCATTGATAATTATTCCACGGATGGTGCTCAACCGGTAAGAATTAAAAGTGGAAGGAGTACCGTAGAAGTAGGAGTATGAGTGATAATTATTGTAGTGGATTTGATATTGGTTTGGTGATGTGGGAATGGTCTTGGTGGGGGATTGGTAGGGGCAATTGCAGTGGTGGGTAGTAGTGGAAGGGGTAGTGGTAGTGATGGTAGTGATATTGATGATGGTAGTGGTAGTGGATGTGGTGATGTCTTGAGAAGGATGGTAGTGGTGGTGGTGGTGGTGATGGTGATAGTGGTGATAGTGATTGTTAAAGGTGATGGAGGTGATGATGGTCATGATGTTGGTGTTGGTGGTGGTGGAGGTGGCGATGGTGATGGATTTGTTCAGGAAGAGATGATGGGGGTGATGGTGTAGTAGTGGTAGCTATAGTAATGCTTGTATAAGTGTACTAGTATGTTCAAGTGAATGTTTGCTCCTCATCAATAAAATTTAATAGGCCTAGCTGCATTGAATGATTCAGAAAATATCTGTCAGATTATGTGTTTAATAGTTAATAAAAATTACATTTTTTTATACAATCTGGAATTATTTTACTTAAATAACAGCAAAAGGTGGATGGTAAGATCGAGTACAGTGGTCTCAAGTTCTCCTACCCAACTCGACCTGACGTCACCGTCTTGAAAGGGCTGAGTCTCACCATCAAACCAGGCCAGACCGTAGCCCTGGTAGGAGAGAGTGGGTGTGGTAAGAGTACTCTGGTGTCACTCCTAGAAAGATTCTATGATCCTGCACAAGGTTCTGTGGTAAGATATTAACTTATTTAGCTTATAATACTTATTAAACTTAGTATACCTCCCCTGCTTCTACAAGTAGTTTTTAAGTGCAATTTTAATTGTTGTGGCTATTCAAAAATCAGATATATAGAAATGAAAACAAATTTGAAGTGACTAAGGGATCAAAGAGTAAATATATATTTCAAGGGGATACCAATTCATTTGTATTTTACCTGTTTATATGCTTGTGTATTTATATATTTTGTTTTTGATGCTGTTATTTGTTTCTATTATTACCAAACAGGGCCTCATGGAAGACCACCAAATAGGTGATATGTGCCACCCTGTATAAATACCAGAAATAAATAAATAAATAAATAAATAAAGATTACAATTACGATTAAAAACTGTATTGATGAGGTTAATAGTGAAAAAATATTGCCCCATAAATTTTGATTGAATAATCTCACAATTTTCTGGAGTAATTATTAAGCATGGCCTGTAAATCTCAAGACCAATGAATGAACTGTTTTTTTAATAAAACAAAAAGAGGATAGATTAATCTACTACAACCTTTTTTTTCCCACTACACAAAGGCTCTCGATGGGACGCCTGTAAAAGACATCAACATCCAGTGGCTGCGAGCAAACATGGCGATTGTGAGCCAAGAACCAATCCTCTTTGCATGTTCTATCGGAGACAACATCCAATATGGTGTCGAAACGCCAATGGAACAAGCGGCTATTGAGAATGTCGCCAAGATGGCCAACATTCATGATTTCATCGCTTCTCTTCCTCTTGTAAGTATTGCAATAACAGTCTTTTCTTTTGGGCTAGTAGCCATGATTTACCCTTCCTGTCTGTTTCCTTTTGATATTTAGCAAAAATATTGTTTAGCATTTATATAGTGGTTAATTCATCTACAAAGTGTAAAGGTGCTTTACTGAGATGCTATTACCTCAGACAACATATTCACGCTTGCCTGTGCACATTCTCTTCTCCCTGGTGAACATTCCAGCCAACCGCCATCTTACAGATACTCACAATTCTGAGCAAACTCTGATGATGTTTGCATCCTACTGAGTACACAATTAACACAATGGACACCTGGGTGGAGCTGCCCAATGTATATAATAAGAAATCCCATGCTTAAGAACATTGTTGATATGGGGATTGAACCCACACCCTTCGTATCACCAGTCAAGTGCTTAAAATCTCGACTAAGACACTTTTTTTCGCCTATCGATCCCACCGCTGCCACCGTGACTATAATGAACCACTATAATACTAATACATCACATTTATAACGCGCCAAATACTTTGTTCCTAGACACAGTATATATTATTACCCCAGTCTTCTGATTCAGGCTTACTCACACACCATGTATGCACATTCTCCACTCCCTGGGGAGCATTCACTATATATTAACAGTTTACAAACCGTTTCATAAACCAATGACTTCATCATTACTGGCACTGCCGACAAGTGGCTGACAGGAAAAGGTCGAAGGTCATACATCAATGAATAAGCATAATCCTGAATCAAGAGGGCGGCAACACAGTGGCACCTATTTATCTCCTTGTCCCCCTTTCCCCCTCCTGTTACCTCCTTCAATTTTTTGTAAATATTTTTCTCCATCACCTTCTTTTCCTCTCCTTTTTCTTTGTTTTTTTCTTGCTAATGAGTTAATTTGAAGAACAAGCTTCCTTTGCTATTATTTCTTGAATAACAATGATAATTTCTCTTAAATTTATCTTTCTAAGTAACTCTCTCCTTCTTTAAGATTGAATTTTTAATAGAAGCACTTATTTGTTATCCATCTCATGATATTCTCATGATTACCCTGGCTTTTGGCGATGGCATTACTAACTCGGCAGGGAGTGTAACTTTGTTAATCTAGTATCGTTTTGTTCTTATTTTCTTAGGGATATGATACTCTTGTAGGAGAGAAAGGAGCCCAGCTGTCCGGTGGTCAGAAGCAGAGAGTAGCCATCGCCAGAGCTATGGCTAGAAATCCTCGTATCCTACTCCTGGATGAAGCTACCTCAGCACTTGATACAGAGAGCGAAAAGGTAAGAATCATGCAAATTCTTGGTAGTAATTTTGCTGCTTGGTAGATATTTTCTTGCTGGTAAATTATGACAGAAGTTATGTCATTTGAAGATGATGGGTTTAAATTTGTCCACTTGTCTCTAAAAGACTGTCTGGCACACAATTTAGCAAGAACCAAGGATTATGGGGATCGTTATCCTGCATTGACCATTGCGTCTTATTTTCAGATCTGAATTCCCAAATAATGAAAGATTATCTTTCACTGATATCCCGAGTTGCATATTAGGAACAAAATATCCCTAAAGAGCTGATAGTAAATGTATCCATGACAACAAATATTTTGATAATTTTTGTGTGTAAATTACGCAATGTTTCATCATATGTGTGTGGTGGAGTGCTCTCTATTTTTTAAGGTGGCTTGGTGTGTGGTTCAATGTGTGTTCAAAATATGTGCAGTACACCTTGTTACATCATGAAATTACATTAAGTAATCTGGTAATATTCCTGTAATAATCTTATGAATGCCATCCTAGATATTGTGGAGACATTTGTCAGTGCTCTGAACACAGGCAGTTCTGTCCTTCTTTCCTCCTGGGACCCGTTTCACAAAGCCTTTTTTTTAATGACAAATTTCAAAAATCAGTGACAAATCTGTTGATAACCAATCAGAAGCAAGGATTTCAGTAGCTTATAACAAAAACTGTCATTCGTCACTGATGACAAGTTTTGTGAAACGCCCCCCTGTTCCTCTCTTTCTCCCTCTTCAACCGTTATGTTCTCTTCCTATCAATCTAGGTTGTCCAGGCAGCCCTTGACAATGCCATGCAGGGCCGAACATCCATCGTCATCGCCCACCGTCTCTCCACCATCCAGAACGCTGACACCATTGCTGTAATCAGAGAGGGAGTGGTCGTCGAGAGCGGTAGCCACCAGGAACTTCTCCAAAGCAAGGGACACTACTTTACGTTGACCGGTGGCAAGATTGATGTGGAATCCGAATAGACGGAGAAAAGCAGAGATTGTCTTTCCGAAACTAATACAGATTCAAACCAGGAGTCTTGAAATGCTGACCAAATACCTCTCAGTAGGTGCTGGTTGCAGAAGTTGTGTTAAATGATCAAATCGTAGAGCCAGATATGGAACGATTGATTTGGTCAAATTCCAAAAAAACTATTGAATGGCCAAACGTGTAAATCAGGAGCGTTTTTGTATTCTTACTAAAGTTTATAAACATTATCTTGTATATTTATCATTCTAAGAGATAGTGGAATCATAACCATTGTAGCACTGATTGTATTTGTTGTGAGCCTGTCGTTATAGAACACTGAGGTGCCTAAAATAGGTTTTGCTATTCTAATCAACCCCTCGTTGGGGGATCCGCCTGACAAATTTCATACCATTTTATACATTCTCTGACCCTTTTCTCTCGAGTCTTGTCCATCTTTCTTGTCTTGCACATCTTTTGACTTGTTAACAACGGTTACAACAATTGACGGTTATAACAATTGACTTCTGTTTCGATGTCACAAATGCTTTCGTGAACTTGTACATCTATGCATCGAGACGAAAATGGAGGATTCTTATGCATAAACAAATAGGATACTGCTTTCTCTTTTCTTTATTCTTTGTACGCTTGCAATCAGGTGAATTTTAGTAAGAGGAACTTCAAAGTTTAAACGGGCCTCTACTTTACTTTCTCTACCTCTTTCTGTGAATGATGTAATGTAACCTAATGCATACCAAAGTATTTTCGAGGTTAGTATCTGGAAATAACAGTGCCTTATGATATTGTTTATTTCATTTTGTTGCGACTGAACTGTACGTGTGTGTCACCGTAAGTGCATGACGGGATAAATGGTAAATGATAACTCCCCCACACATGCACTAACACATCAACAATATTTGTTGTCGCAGAAACATTAACTACCGGCTCTTTTGTGATATTTTATTCATGGTATCTTGTAAAGATAAAACTGACAATGACAACCTCATTATGGAATGGAACAAAAGTCATATTGTGTTTAATGGTAGTTAATGCAGATATCTTTGAGAAGTGTTTTTTAAAGACTGGTGCAACGATGCATTTTTCTCTTCTTAACTTGAGATTACTTTTGCCGAGTTAAATTGCCTCTACCGTGTGAATCAAAAAAAAGTTTACACCTAGAAAATTGCTAATTATTTGTAAAATCATCTATGAACAGTAAATTATGATACATCTTATGAAAGAGTGTTTAATCCCAAATCATTTGGTACCATTTTTGTGTGATATTCCACCTGTTCATCCAAGCGTGAACAAATACCACACAAAAATGGTACCAAATGATTTGGGATAAAACACTCGTTCATAAGACACAGTTTAATGTTCATCAATGATTTTTTAAATAATTAGCAATTTTCTAGGTGTAAACTTTTTTTTGACTCACTCTCTATTCCACACGTGTTTACTTAATATTTTTGGGTGTGCATCGTAGCATAACCTTGTCAATTTGGTACCAAAGTCGGATTTTCCCATTTTTTGTGTATATATATATGATACATGTAGTACCCATGTAAATATTTAAATTATTCATAGAATTGATGGAATTCAAATCAGCTTTGAGTCGATATGATAAAAAGTGTGTCGCTTTTCCAAATGATGTCATGAAAAATTTGTATAATTTTCACGGCAAAATATGAATAGCTTTTTTTTTCGGGGCTCATGTTGGCAATTTTGGTGGCATTAATCCTATGTTTTTCATTATTAAAAAGAGTTCATTATTAAGCATGTTATCTTAATCATCAGTTGTATTTTATACTTAATTAAAGATATTATCTTTTACAGAAAGTGTTTATGCATATATGGCACATAATGATCTTTTATTGATAGCGATAGAGATGTATTAATCAATAGTGAAATTGGTGATTTGGTTTCTTCAATACCACCTGTAGCCTTTAGCAAATTATGTTTGCATTTGATAAAAAATATATAATAGTTTTGTTTTACTGAACATGTTCACATTTCGATGTAACAGAATGCAGGATACATTTAGTTTTACGTTCACATCAACATTATCATTTTATCTCTATAATCATATACATTTTATTGTAAGATATACATTTTTGTTATCATGACATTTCCTATATTTGTATAATATATGCAGGGGCATTCCTAGCCCATCTTAAAAAGAAAGTATCACTTTTCTTTGTTTATCAGCAAGGTGGTGGGGAAAGGTTGTTACCCACAAAATCCCCTCTAATTGCACTAAATCTTGCGTCTCACCATTATATCCCAAGTCTCAAGGATGGCTTAAGGATTCTTGATAAAAAAAAGGGGGAGCGCACGGGTCAGAACATGAATTGACTACCAAAGAAGAAATGGTTATCAGATTTGTAGGATCGAAGTTTAAGAGCCCTCTGGGGCAAAAAAATGATGGCAGGGAGGCGCATTTCTCATTTAAGAAATTTTGGTACGCCTCCTACTGTTCTTCACGCCGTAACAAGACAGAAACCCGCCCTCTGCTTCCCCTAACGATAATCCTGCACCTCTCCTGACCTTTTAAATGTGTGTTTCATATTCCAGTCTTTTGCTTTCATGCAATAAGTAGTCACCTATTATTGTATTCATCACCCCATAGTAAAATGAAGTATTCATATATATATATATATTTTGTTTACCTGTTGTAGATCACATTTTATGTGAACAGTCGATAGTACCGGTCAAATAAAGTATACTACTTTTAACACAAATTCATCCTGATTATAATGATGTTTTAATTACAGGGGGAGGGGGAGAGGGAGGGGGAGGCAGGGGTCCAGTACCAATTGTTGCATATGAAAGTGTCGTAAATATCACTTTCCTTTGCCCTTCGATCCTACTAAAAAGTGTAGTATCTATGAATAAACCCCACATCATTAGAAAAGATGTAGTCATAATAATGATAAAGATTTATTCATTTGTTTATTTGAACAATTCATACTGGATTAAAAATTAGGAAAACAAAAGTTCTAGGTTATATGAAATTCATGACATATTTAAATACGTGAAAAGGGGAGATTTGTGTATTTTATAAAAGATGTAAATGAGAGAAAAAGAAAGGAGGATGAGGAGAAAAGAGAGAGTGGAAGGAGAAGGGGGGGGGGGGGGGTCCTGAGGCAGCTAGAGCAAGACTAGTAAGCGGTAAGGGAGAGAGAATTAGAGGGACAAGGGAATGAAAGGGGAATGTAAAAAAATGTGTTGGTCAGTTTGATCTCATTTGAAATTACGTTACCCAAATCCTACAAATTTTAACAATGTTAGTTTGGTACTCTGTATATTTCTGCTCCATTTCTTGCAATCTCTCTCTCTCTCTCTCTCTCTCTCTCTCTCTCTCTCTCTCTCTCTATGTGTCTTCCACTCCCCCTGCCTCTCCCCATCACTCTCTTTACAATAAAAAGAATGTCATGAATAATAAACTTTGACAAGATTTAAACCTTTAAATTAAGTGAAGTTGTTTGAACTCTATCTTTATTATGATATAAATGGTCGATTTATAAAAGGCAATTCAATTAGAAGCAGGAAAACCTTAAGAATAACAGTAAATCGTACAGTAAATTTCACAAGTATAATGTACTTTACAAACACTGTCTATGAGCACCCTAATTGACAAAAGGAAGAGGTATGATGAAGTGTCCAAACAAGTGAAAATACGAAGGCAAATATTCCTTCCTTTAGATTTTTCCCAAAACAATCATTAATTGCACATTTGTATGGCAGAATATAACATCTTACAATTTAATTTCAATGAAATAATTAGACGTAAAGTTGATCCAATATCGATCTCACCAACCACCAGGCTCCTTGGATAATTAAGGTGTCCACTTTAATCATATCAACAATAACATACAGCTCTAAATTTTAACGTTAACCGAAATACCGACAAAGTTTGCCTTTACTCATCATCAGTACATTATAAACATATCGAAAAATCGGGGGAATCACTTCTAGAGCGCGCTGATATTGAGTTTTAAAGAATCCCATTACATGAAAATGAAATTCAAATTGATTATGAATATTCATCATGACTCGACACACAGTGAGGGAATTGTGGCACCAGGGAGCTGCAGCCCCCCCCCCCAATAATAAAAATAAAAATACCAATACTCTGGCGATCGTCACTTATTAAGGCTCGTTCATATAATTATGGCGGTATAAACGAATGGCAATTGCGCTCAACAATGGACGTGAGCTTCACGGTATTCAATAAGCTCTGTAACTGTTATAAGATCTGTGACTCGTTTCACAAAGATCCAAAGTTTAACTTATCTCTAACTTGGACTTAACAAGTCCGTTAGCGTCTTTGAAAATATTTTGTAAAAGCTATTTTAAAAGGCATAAAATGTTGATTTAAATCATTCATATTTTCTATTATAAAGGAGATTTCATGTTCTTGATGTGGAATTTATGAAAAGTATAAAATACTTGAATTTTTGCTTTTGACTATATTTGATTTAAAGGCTACAAATGGCTCTCCATAATTGTTAAGTCCAACTTAGAGATAAGTTCAACTTAGGATCTTTGTGAAACACCCCCCCAGAAATGTGAGGCATGTTACACTTTACGTCGTCTTGAATAAAACCCTTGCGGATTTCTCGCGTCATATTTGAACGAGCCTTTATTCGGGTGGCGGGGCAATTGCTTGTAATTAGAATACCATGTATACCATATCTACATGTAGTAAATTGCAAAGAGAAAAAGCACACTTCACTGATTTATGGGATAGGTAATACAAACAGCTTATAAGTAGTATGACGACTAGAAGTATGTCCTAATACTCTCTTTTATCATGATTCTATAGGTTTCTTCTGATCAGCATCATCAATTTTAAATAACTAGTCTTCCAGTAAGCGCTAAAAAAGTGCCCTCTCTTCTTAAAGTATCTTTTATAAATATACTGTAAATTTTTGCTATGAGTGTGCTCTGGTACTTCTTTTATCACTACGATGTTATTATTTGATTGATCACCTTGATCAACTATAATTTGTTTTTATTTAAAATTCCTTAGTGAGCGTACAATGATACTCCCCCTCCTAGCTTAAGTAGCTTTGTTACAATATTTATAGTTAAAATTGGATTTGTTTGCTTTGGGAATGCCCTGTAACTTCTGTTATGATTCTAGAAGGTTCTTGCAATCCGTGGTATCAACGACAAGTCTCCCAGTGAGCGTAAAGTTGTACCCCTTCTTTTTAAGTAGCGCTGTCACAAAGAGTTTTCGATCCCAGAACGTATTCAATTCAATTCAATTCAATTATTTTTCCTTTTTCAATTTTTCATACTTACAATGATGGTACATTTTAACATATTCACATATTCATAATCAATTTGCACAATACAATTCATTAAAGGCCCACTGCACTACTTGTAGCTACTTGCGCCCTCTATATAAGAAACAATGCCTAATCGGTGACCATTGGTCCCCCATGATCCTCTTTTTCTTATGTTAACTGAGAGCTGAGTTGATGAGATAACCACCTGTCCAGTGACCTTGCAGGGCAGTCTAATCTCTTCTGTAAACTACGGCAGATAAGCTTTAAACAAAATAAACAAGAAATTGAAAGGGAAGGAGGGCCGACCAAAAAAAACAGAGCTTGTAGGGTGAAGGCCCCCCCCTGTAAAGGTTATCATTATGAATTATTATTTTATGAGGAAACAATAATAACTGATTTAGTAATACAAAAATCATTTTTAAATGTACTAAATTTATTTAGGACAATTCCAAGGTATCGCTTATGCTTTTAGACTTTCTTCTACCATGGTTCTATAGGTTTCTCCTGATAAGCATCACCAATAACTAGTCCCACAGTGAGCGTAAAATGTTGGTCCATCTTCTTCATTAAATATCTCTTTAATACAGAGAGCTATAATAGGTAGAGTTTTCTTTATGATTATACCCTGTGACTTTAGCTACCGTGATTTTATAGGATTCTATAGATCAGCGTCATCAACAAACAAGTCCCACAGTGAGCATAAAGTAGTGCACCTCTTCTAAAGTATATCTGTTACATTGAACTATTTTTTTTTGGGGGGGGGGTGGGTAAGAGAATGCCCTAGGAATTATATTCTATCCCGACTTTATAGCTTTCTTCTCGTTGACGTCAGCAACGACTAGTCCTCCTGTGAGCGTAAAATAGTGCCCCCTCTTCTTAAGGAGCTCCTGATGGCTACCGCTCTCGACCACGACTCCGTCTCTGATGACGGCGATGACGTCAGCGTTCTGGATGGTGGAGAGACGGTGGGCGATGACGATCGATGTCCGGTCCTTCATGGCGTTGTCGAGGGCTGCTTGGACGACCTGGAAAACATAGGAAGAGATTGATTGATTGATAACCTTCAATAATTATGATTATGTATATATTTTTTAATTGGTTGCAGGTATCAATTCGCACTTCTTTTTCTTTTTTGTTGTTTTTGTAATATCTGACATTTCAAACCATTAACACTTTTTAATTGGATTATGAACATCTAAGATTACAGGGATAGTAGTCTACCAGGTAATAATCATAATTATTTGTGGTTCCCGCTAATTTTCAGCATTACCATGACTTCAAGAGGTGACCTGATAAATGGAATAACGCAGTCATCCCATTGACTCCTGAATTATGTCATCCCCATCAGTAGAGGAACCACCCAAATCCCACAGGCTATGGTTTATGCAACAACTGGGGGAGTGTTTCACAAAACTTGTCATCAGTGACAAATGACAGTTGTTGTTATAAGCTACTGAAATCGTTGCTTCTGATTGGTTATCAGCAGATTTGTCACTAATATTTGTCATTTGTCATTGAAAAAAGGCTTTGTGAAATAGGTCCCAGATTACCTACCGAGCAGCAAAATCAACCCATAAACTTTCATCTCTACCAAGAATGTAATGATTCTTTACCCTTTCGCTCTCTGTATCAAGTGCTGAGGTAGCTTCATCCAGGAGTAGGATACGAGGATTTCTGGCCATAGCTCTGGCGATGGCCACTCTCTGCTTCTGACCACCAGATAGCTGGGTTCCTTTCTCTCCTACTAGCGTGTCATAACCCTGAACATGGAACAATATAACATTTGGTTATTGCTTATCAGTTCTCCACAGCCTGCCAAGGTACCATAGTCGTAATTTGTAGGACATGAGTGTATATATGCCACTCTCGAATGTTTGAGCACCTTTACCATGCACGTAAACTTGCGTAAAACTAACAAGAGAATGGTGAGCCCGGGTTGTATTTGAAGTAGACTAAACGCACAAGGTGTTTAATAACATTTTTAGATTTTGCACCACTTCCTTACTGCATGATAAATATGTCACCACAAATGGAGACACAAAATAAGAGAGAATGATCACGTTACGCAAAAATATAGCAAACGAACTTGCTCGTTTGATAAAAAGACCATGCAGGTATATGAAACAGAGGACATATTGTAGTAAAGGTAATAAAGATGACAAAGCAGGCGCGTAGCCGGGGGGAGGGGGGGGGGCGGTGGGGTGGTCGCCCGTCCCCCCCCCCCAAAAAAAAAAAAAAAAAACGCCTGCCAAAAAGAGAGAGAGAGAGAGAGAGAGAGAGAAGAGAAAAAAGGGAGAGGACGTAGGAAGAAAAAGGAGCAAAGACAAGAGCCGAGAACGGTACAACGAATCGTCTTCTTTCTCTTATGATACATTTAATGAAACGTCACAGCTTTCGCGCGGGAGGGGGGGGGGACTGAATTCATACAAGGATTAAAAGTCGAG